TAACATGATAAACTCTCTAATGCACACCCAAAGATTCAAAAAGTAGTACTGTTACGACTCTGTACAAGAACAAGGCACACCCAGTAACTCGGATGTGACTCATACCACCTCAACAATCAAGTGCTAGATTTGCAGCTCATATGCATATAGGTCTGCATACTTCATAGTGTAAACTTTTGGAATGTGCCAATCCGCCGCTGCAAGCAATGCAGAAGAGGAAACTACAAGCTTTGGATAACCATACTTTCAACCTTGGAATTCATGAAAGATTGTGATGAGATATATTTTAATCACAGATACACATTCATTATTAGTGCAGTCCTGCAGGGTATATAAATGAACACTGTTAAAAGCAGTTCTAACTTCTAAGTGTAAGTTGTTTGTGACACAGAAAATCATTTCTGGAAAAATGCTCTACTATTAATTTCCAAAAATTTGTAAAATTTTCGTGCGGGTGCTCGTACTGATCAACTAGGGCAGCCTAAGTTAGCAGTAAGATCCACCTATATCGATTTAAATGAGATGTTTTACGTACTCTTAACAGATTTGAGGAACCATTTTGTCCCACAGCAGAGGAGACCATTTGATGGACTACCACAGTTACTGTAAATATGGGAGATGATACATGAAAAGCTCAAGTAACCAAGCGCACCAGCAATGAAAATTAAGGCAGTGGACTCCACTTGACATGAAGAAAATTACTCCAACAGTTAGATGACACGAGAATACAGTATGCAGGATGCTTCAATAAAGACAAACATTAACATCTGTTTCACAGATCAAGCATTAACATGCAATTCCCACTTCATAACTCCTTAGAAGAAAGAGTTTTCCAAAATAACTGAAAGGAATATTTCCAACTTTTAATACTTTCTTGAAACTATATTTCTACCAGAATTTTGTTAACAATTTAAACAGATATATTTTATTAGCTGATTTCCAGTTCAGAAAGGGATTGATGTGATTATTTTTATTTTTTTCCTTTCCTATTTACAGTCTGCAAGATATTTATTTTTCTTATCTCCACTTCTTATTACCCATAATAGATTAATTTGGTATTAGTTGAATAACAGTTAATTTATTGAATTTGATACTCTTAGATGAAAGCAATGAAATTCCAAGTCAAGCAGTTGCAACTTGAATCGAAATGACATGATATGAGTTATAGTAATCCTTGATACTACTTCCTCCGGTCCACAATAAGTGACCAATTTACTTTTTTATTTTGTTCCAAAATAAGTATCCATTTATATAATCAAGAAAAAATTTAATTTATTTTTACAAAATTACCCTTATGTACATATCCCTAAAAGTTTTCTTACTCCTCACATTAAATATTTAATTAAGGGTAGTTTAGTCATACTAGGTATTTTTGTATTGAATTTAGTATTTTCTTAATGGGCGTGCCAAAAGCAAATTGGTCACTTATTATGGACCGGAGGGAGTAAAGAAGAAGAAAAAGATACTACTACCAGTCTATGATTACCCATTTATGACATAAGAGAAGTACTTATATTTGGTACTATTTTGCTTCTCAAGCATTTCACTCAGTTCCTTCGATAAAAAAAAAGTAGCCTACCGCACAGAATCCATATCAACTTATTGTATCATTTACACCTTACTAGAATAGTTTCACGTCGAACAAATTAAATGGAATAACAATCAGCAAGTTGTCCCTCAATTTTATTTGTAAATATACATTGCACAGAATTAGTCCTGACTCCTACCCTTCTTGTATAGCTTACATAAAGGACTTCGATATGGTAAGATGATTTTATCCAATTTGCTTATATAGGTTAGGATAAATTACTTAAATAGGAGTTTACAGAGAAATCAATTTTTATTTCCAGTAAATGCAACGTTTTCATTTCCAGTTTGGATAAAAATATTGAAGGAATGGATCCAGGTAAAACTGCATAGACAAACTTTTCTCCTTTCAGAATCAAACAGTATGAACTTAGCTACTTATTAATTGATATAGGTGAAAAATGTTTCATCAGAAAATATATTTTCCTTGATGGAATTATTTTTAGTATTTGCTTCAATCAACACAGACATCGTTACTTCATATTACTTGTTTTAATCAACATTTCGACATTGTGGTCAAACTAAAATAGCAAAAATTATCATCAAAAACACACTCCTCCTACCCTATCGACTCCTCTTACAATTGTCATTTACTTTTGTATCTATCCAACCAAAGCAGGAAAAAAATTAACACAGAAGAATTCTTAGTAAAACATTTTCCCCAAAATAATATTTTCATCAAAAGTGACTCAAGTCTCCGGAGCAATTGTACCTCTTGTAAATTAGTAGTGCCTTCATCATTGCTCTCTAGATCGCGAAGTATAGCTTCAATGAGTTCTTTGTAGCCACAATCCTCAATAAAGGCCCATCCCTCATTTCCGCCGTATTCCTGAAAGCAGTAACGATAAAAAAAACAAAAAATCTCGCCTAATCCACTTCATTAAGCCCCAAAAATCCCAGATGAAACAGGGCGTTATTTTGGGGAAACTTAACCAGCTACATTAGATTATTAACGCTTACCTTGAGAAGTTTATTCACTGTTTTCCGAACTAGCGATTCATCAAAGCCGAAAGGTGTCATGGCATCAATTGCTGCGTCTATTCGGCCTAATCGCTGCCAATAAAAACCAAACAACAGTGTTAAGAAAAGAGTACAGACTAAAGCAAAGAATAAAAGCTGAAAAATTCATCAAACCTTTCTGGGTCTGCCTCTGGGTGCCATTGTTGCGTATGCCTCAATACACAGAAGAAGAAGAGATGAAAGAGTGCGAAGAAAAAAATGGAAAATGCAACAAATTTGTTCAGAAACTGAAAAGGCAAAGCGGGTTGGGCACAATATGTGCATGTAGTGAGTCTTGTTTTCTTTACTATACACGTGGCATTCTCTACTTGGCCCAATTTTAAAGCGGCAAGAATTCCAGGCACCTTGGCCTTCAGTTCCTTGTTGCATTGGACCAATTAATTTTCAATAATCGTGGAATTTGATATTTATAGTAATTAAATATTAATAGTAGTACTTTTTTTCTTAAATATGGGTGTTAGGCCAACTTGAATAAACACGAATTAATTCGATACTCATAGTGAGTATCAAAATCTCTTGTATTTAATTAAATTAACAATAAGAACCATTTATGAATATTCAAAGCTAAGCATGAACATCGCAAATATAGTAACAAATGATAAAAACTTAGCATAAATATATCTCACTTATTTTTATTAAAATTAAGATGTATGAATCTGAATTCATAAATTTGTCTTTGTTTAAATTAAAAAAAATTACTAAATAGTATAATAATATATTAATAAAATGTCATTGAGTTCTGAAGTGGTTATAAAAAGATAAAATTAACTAGTTGGAGAGTCAATCAATTTTACTTCACTATATTTTCCTTTGAATTATTCACGAAAAATTGTTGTTTTAGGAGTAATAATTTTGTAAGCACTTTCTAAATATGCCTATTTTACATCAAAATATATTGAAGAACTAATATCTAAATTTCTTACACTAAATTAGATATTTTTTTATCCTTATAGTCACTAGGGTGATTTTTACGAATAGGGTAGTTTTGTGCCGGTAGTTATTTTATCTTCGCTTTATTTGCCTAGTTTTGTGCATAAATGCCTTTTTTAACTAGATGGTTATGGCCCGTAAGCACGGGCCCAATATTCTCAGTGATGAAATTAACAGCTTGAAATAATTTATATTTATTTTCGAACAAAATTTGCACTCATGCCTGTAGTGTGGCTGCCAAAAAATATATTCTTCATATCCGCGAACCTTCATATCATTGATGCACTTAGAAACAAAATCAAGTTACGAAATATTGTAAGTAGCACATTTTTTTACTGCCATGAACTTACTATTACATATACACTTTTTAGATATATATATATATCTAAAAATATTTGAGCTGCCCCATATATATATACTATTTACATATTCATAAAATTTGATGCTTAATGCATTGATGGTGTTGTGGTAAGTCGTCCTTTTTGCAACTTTCGCACCTGTATAATTGTGAAGTGATGAGAATTGTCAGGTGTCAATGTCCATATAATATATGTGTATAAAAAAATTGTAGGAAGGAAAGAAAGAACAAGAAAAGAATAGGACAATATTTCTGCCTTGTTCTTTAAATTTCCTTTGACATGTCAGTTCTAAATTCTTGAACACAGAAGCGTACAATATGGGCAATCAAGGAGAAGAGGCTTATTCATTTTGGATCACCATGATAACCTAATACTATATTTGAAACTTATAAACACAACTGCCGCATAGATGATAGGTTGATGCCAATCAATTGCTTTTCTTGAAAGAAGATGGAATACTGAAGCTACTTGCAATTGAGTTCTGGATAGGATGAGCAGTCCAAAACTATTAGCAAAGTATGTTGCTGGCTTCTAGGCTTTAACTTCAAATATAAACATATATATACATCCTCAAGTAACGTTGGTTAGCATAAATGCCATATATCTTTTATTGCCAATGTGTACCATGACCATCCCATCACTTTTCCTTGAAAAATTTAGTGGTAAGAAAAAGGATCTAGCTAATTAAGTTAATGCATCACCTCAATTGACACATAACTCATTCACATGTGCAGATAATATGTTTGCTCACAACTTAAAAAGGATCTAGCTGATTATGTTAAAGTATCAATTCATTTGATGCATAAATCATTGGCATTTGCAGATTGCGTGTTTGTTTATAGTTTAAAAGATTATAGAGCATAAACAAAGCAGTCAATTACAGAGAAAAAGAATGATAGTTTGGCATACCTTCATATATATCCTCAAAAGAGTTTGTACCATCTTTAACCACAACCTTCATAAGGAATCAAATATACAATCCACCCTCTAATAATGGATCTTTGGTAGATAAAGAAATGTATAAGTATCCGAGATATTTTAATTTATAGAGTTCTCTAACATACTAACCTTATATTACCTTTTAAGAATTTTATTTCTAGTATAATGATAAACATTTAAATATTAGTAGCCTTAATTCTCTTTTTCATTTCCTCAAAAGAGAAATATCGAAGGTAAATTAGTGCACCCAGTAAGTTTGAAAAAAGTAATGATAAAGTGAGAACATGCTTCAAAAAGAAAAAAAGCAAATATACAATTTGGTGCACATACATCAACATATTAAAAATATCTAAAAAGAAATTCTTAAAACAAACTCTAGTTTTCATCACCCTCCAACCGCGATCCCCAAAAAAGCAAACAAAGAAACCAAAAAAATCTCAAAAGTAGAGTAAGAAAAGGAAACTTTTTTCACCAAATCAATCAGACAGAATATACTGAGAGAATGTGTTGCAACAACATATAGTAGTTTAACATATAGCAGGATTGGTGGATCGATTAAAATTCAGAATTCTAGATTAGTCCACTCTCTTAAAGGAGGTACATCTAACTGGATTATATACATCAGTGCTTTATGCAACTATCCATTAGGAGATGCTGATATTTTAAGCGTAATTTTTTCACAATTAATATTGATAAATTTTTCCCTAACTTCGTAACATCAAAATGCAGGGTATGTATTTTAGTGAGTGTCCCTACAGTAGAAGAAATGAAAAATGAGAAATAATCAACAAAATTACATGTAATAGTATAAACCTGCTTCAAGTTTATCATTATTCTCTTGTCGTGTCAAACCTTGAAATTTTCATAAAAAATCTTCTTAAAAAGAACGAAAGCGTAAACTACAAAATAGTAAAGCAAAAACGACCAAA